AAAGAGAACCCAGCTTTCTGGGCAGGCTTCAAGTCCTGAGTAGAGCACTGTTGGCTTGGGGCTAGTTCTTTAACCTGAGGGGACCTAAGCTGTCACACCTGGAATGGAGAAATAACTAGGGGTTATTGGGCTGTTGAAAAGACTAAGTGATAAAACAAAAACAAAACACCCACCTGAATCCCTTAGCCCAGTGTGGCACACAGCAAGTCTCTGGAAATACTGAGTTACTAAGTAGGTCTGTCACATTAGACACAGCATCACTTAATCCAGCACCAAACCAAATCCTTCTCCCTATTTTATAGATACAAAAGTTCAGTCTTGAGGGGGTTATAGATCCAAAAGTTCAGGCTTTGGGGATTTTCACCAAATCCAGCATCAAACCAATCCTTCCCCCTATTTTATAGATCCAAAAGTTCAGTCTTGAGGGGGTTAATTAAGGACCTTATCCAAGGTCACAGAAGGCAATGACAAACAAAACAATAACAATAAAACCCAGCACTAGAACCAAAGTCATCATTATAATTATTATCAACGTAATGATCACCAGTTACTGGAAGCTGGGTGGGGTGGGAAGCGTACTCAAGGGCTCAAACACCCTGTTAGGAAAGAATTGTTAACTATTCTATGAAGGAGGACACAGTTAAGGAACAAAGTAGTGGTGTGATCCGTGATTTGATGCCAAAATCCAAGGTTTCTTCCATGAATGTCTGTTATTTGCTATACAGAAGTCTGGAATCTTCACTTGAAGCCTCAGCAAACCTGACTGTATTATTTTTAAAACTTTATTGTTTAATGGAGCCAGGAATGGCTTTCTTAAGGAAGGGGTCTGTTGTCTGTAGTATACCAAGATAGGTTATGCCTCAAAGGATGCCTAGCTTTCTACCCATTTCCTTCCAGAAGGTTTGTTCTCAAGATCATAGATTTGAGATTCTGTTAAACGAAATGCAGAAGTTCTTGGCCATTGTACTTTTAATTTTCTGGTTATCAGAGCAACATAAATATTGTCCCAAGTAAATTTTTACCTGCTCACATCTCTCTCATCACTGAGGGAGTTTCCTCAGCAGTATGTAACTGTCCTACCAAGTGGCATGTGGCTCTGAATGTGTCCACTAAGTCATTAAATCCCCCTAGTTCCGCTACCCTAACCTATGTGGTTGGGGAAAAAATAGCAGAAGAACAAGGAACATGACAATTCTGAAGCAAATATGTGGCAGGGTGCCTACAACCCCAGCCCTCCAAGAGGCTAAACAAACAAACAAGTTCAAGTCCCGTCTGGGCTACAGACAGTTTAAGGTCAGCCTAAGCAATTTAGTGAGACTCTGTCTCCATATTTAAAAAGTAAAAGAAAGCTGGGAGTGGTGGTGCACGCCTTTAATCCCAGCACTCGGGAGCCAGAGGCAGGCGGATCCATTAAACTTACTGATTTTTAAATGACGATTAGAAAATATAAAGGTATATATGGCTTATATTATGTTTCTATTGGGCCAGGTGGGGTGGTGCACGCCTTTAATCCCAGCACTCGGGAGCCAGAGGCAGGCGGATCTCTGTGAGTTTGAGGCCAGCCTGGTCTACATGGTGTGTTCCAGGCCAGCTGGGGCTACAGGGAGACCCTCTCAAAACAAAAACAAAAAACAAAACAAAACCAGAAAATCTGAGTGAAAGCGTGCACTTGAGAGACAGAGAGAGACAGAGACAGGAGACAGAGACAGAGAGACAGAGAGCATGCTGAGCTGCTTAGTCCTGGCTAGTAGAGAGAATCTGAGATGAAGGGTGAGAGGGGTTTCTCATAAAGGGGAGAAACTTCGGATCTCTGTGAGTTTGAGGCCAGCCTGGTCTACATGGTGTGTTCCAGGCCAGCTGGGGCTACAGGGAGACCCTGTCTCAAAGAATACAAAAAAGTAATAATAATAATAATAATAATAGTAATAAAGTAAAAGAGAGCTGGCGATACCACAGTGGCAGAGGGCTTGTCTTCTTTGGATAAAAGATAAAGCTTTGGTATTTTTGTTGAAACAAGTATCAGTGATCACGCATACTGTTCAGATACTTGACTTCCATTGCTCACAGCTTATATTTCAAATGCCTAAACAGTGCTGCTGCTGTTACTGTTGGAGAGGCAGTCCCAGCAGTGTGGGTAGCTGGGTGGAAGTTTCAGAAGCAGACATCAGCAGTTGCAGGATTGTAGTCACCCATCCACAAATTCCTGACCTTGATCATTGAAGAAAGAGTTCCTATCCCTAGACCAAGAGGCAAAAGAAAATCAGGAACACTGGGTGCAGGATCTGAGGCTGTTGCTAACAGGAGAGGCATGTGTGTCCCACACTAATTCTGAATACTGCTGATGGCCCCACTTTCTGGAAGGTAATTGTTTAAAAATATATTTTGTGCATAAGGGTGGGAGAGTGGGGCTTCAAGGAAGACAGATTCTGGGCACTCCTCATTGTAGTAGCTGTACTAAATAAATGACTGTGGCACATAAACTGCCTCTACTGTGTCTGGTAACTACCAATAACAGCCTCTGCTAGGAGACAATGTATGCCATGCACATTATTACCTTGCTGGGCTGCTAGCCTCAGGAGAGAGTTATCACTTTGTCCCTACTTTACCAGTAAGAAGACAGGTTCAGAGAGGTCAAGTAACTTGCCCAAGATCACATTACTAAAGTGACAGATTCAGTTTGCATTCAGGTTTACTGGCCTTCTAAGTTTGACTTATTTCTCCATTCTTATTCTTGCAGCCTTTGAAAAGCTCCTCTTGCACCTCTCTGCCCTGATTTTAAATCTGCATTTCTCGGTTGTGCTTCATACTAGCTTGATAAGTGTAGCTCTCACCACTCATCAAAGAAATTTCTTTTTGCAACAGATAGAGACTAATTATAAAGTTCCACAACTGGTCAAAAAGCAGAGAATAAGGGACCTGGGGTGCCCAATACCAATGGACACATCTACACTGCAACACCTACACTGAAGGCTCAGGGAACATGGAGGAAGAAGGGGCAGAAAGATTATAAGAGCCAGAGGACCAGGACACCTGCTACTAGTGTCTTCTAGGCATAATGGAAGCTGCTTCCACGAACTCTCAACAACATGGTTGCCTAAACAAGACCTGCATGACACCACCAGTTGACATGCTGATGTGGATGGGGCAAATTTCACAGTGCTCTACCTCAAGATGAAGAGCTACAGGCTCAATGGCTGCTGAGGGCTGGAAAATCAGTTTTCTCCAGGGACAAGCTTCCTGGTGGGTTATCCAATCCCAAGTGGTCAGCCACAAATACATGTATCCTCAAGCACCACGAAATGAACCCATTACTTTATATATGTATGTATATGTAGCATTAATAATCAAAGCTCAAGAAATTGATGGAGAGGAAGTGGAAAGAGTTGAAGAAGGAGAAAAAGGGATGGAAATGATGCAAGTGCAGTACTCACATGTGAAATTCTCAAAAGGAAAAATGTTAAGGATGCTTACAGTGGTTTTCTAAAATACACCTATCTACCTGTCATTTTGTCGTCAATTCATCTGTCGTTTACACATTCACACCACACACAGGTAATAGGGAATACAAAATGGTGTGATCTACTCAAGATCTGATAGCTTGAAAATGATGTTGTGAGAGGTTTATGCAGCAGCTAGGAAATCCCAGAAATACAGCAGCTGTCCCCCTGGAATTATTAGAGAACCCAACTGGCCTACATCTTGTCAAATGACTAGAAATTTGCCACATAAAGGAGTAAAATGCAACCCATTGTAAAGATCAACTAAGGAGGAAACTCTCATCTCTCTATGTGAAATCATTCAACAAGGAGCATTACACCTGTGGATGAGTGATCTTGAGAAGACTGCTGAGTGAGTCTTCACTACCTCCACTCAGACACTCTTAAACAGGAGACTCATACTGGCCCTCAGAGATCCAGTGTCTACACACATTGATGAAGTTGCAGTATGCTGCTACTGTGCATGTCTGTAAACTCTACTCCACACAATATGAAGAAAAAACAAACATCAATCCATGCTTTGACATCCAAAAATAAATTTGCCTTTCTCATCCACACAGCATATTTGGGGATGCCTGTCCATTGTCTAGCAGCACCCGGATCACTGGTGGCCCCAGGTGAGAGAACAGGGGAGTCAAGGTATTCTGAACACGCAGGGTAAACATCTTAAACAGGGAGCTTGCTTTTAGAGACGCAATCCGATGCTGTCCTACAAGCACCTCAAAGTCGCAACTGTCAAGGGTTCACTGGCCTCTCAAGACAATTTTGAATCCCAAGAACCCAGGCATTCAGAACCAAAGGTGCTTGGCAATCTGTCGTTCTTAATGTTTTTCACAATCTGTGAAAAACACTGCACACTGGAGAGCTTTTTGAATTTGACATCCAGGCCACTTTGCCAAGCATTGTCTCGCTTCCTTATTTTGTATCCCATGAAACTCAAGGGAAGTCCTCACCCTACCTCAGGGCCAAGCAGGTCACTGGAAGCAGCCAGCCTGTCCGCAGGCTGTGCTCAGGGAAGGGGAAGGTCCCCTTCAGCAGCCACCCGTTTTTTTTTTTTTTTTTTTTTTCTTTTTTTGGAGGCTCACCTTTGGTCTCTGGTTCCTAACTTTCGGCGCCCATTAGAATCATCCGGGGACCTCTGAGGCAAAACCGAGGTCTGGGTTCTACCCTAGAGATTCCAACAGAATTAGTCTGGGGTTTAGCCCGGGCACCTGGATTTTCCAAGTGCGCAGAGATGATTCTAAATTGCAGGCAGGACTGAGTGAGAATGCCGGTTTAGACCACAGTGGGACTAAGGACCCCGCTGGCAATGGAGTGCATGCCTTTCAACTTGCGAGGCTGTACTCAAACTCAGGCGCCTCTCAGACAGGGTTCAGTCCGAGTTCTCCCGAAGCTGTGCACCCGCAGCCTGGCCTGCCCACAGCCGATTCCGCCTCCTGGTGCCTTCTGCCGGGCAGAGCCCGGGACCCGGAAAACCTGCCCGCGCTAACTCCCAGGACTTACCAGGATGACCGGACTAACAGTGGCTGGATGCAAGAGCAAGGTCCCGGGAGCGCGTGACCCGGGAACGCGGTGACCCGGGAGCGCGGTGTCGTGGGAGCCGAGGCTAGGCTTGCGGATCGCGGCGGGTCGCGCCTCGGCGCTCGAGCTGGGCGGGCACTGTGCCTCCCGGGCCCGGAACGGGAACTGGCGGGGACCAGGGCACCGCGTCCCCTGGCCGCGCCCGGCCAGCCAGCTGCGGGAGAGGCCCAGGCGGAGCAGGCGGTCCAGGCCCGGGCGGGGGTGGTGCTGCTCAGGGTCAGCCTTTCCCCCAGGGAAACCTCTGGAAGAGCGGCTAACGCCACCGGGGAGCCGTGAGTGGGCAAGCCTGAGTTAGCCAGGGGTGACACGCTGGGAACTCGTCGTGCCAGTCCAGCCGTCGCCCGGAGAGAGCCAAGGTCCACCCCCTAAAAGTGCCACCCAGCGTCAGCAACCAGAGCCAATATCTGGACCCGACCAGACTGGGAAAACTTGTTAAAGTGGGATGTGTGTTCCCGCTTAAACTAGCCGAACTAATCAACCTAAATTCACAGTGTGATCTACTTCCACGAGAACTTTCAGAGATCAAAGCTTTCTTTCCGTCTGTCCTTAGCTCTGTTCAGTGTGCATTCTATAGTTTTACTATGACTATGTACAGGATTTTTAAACTTGCCAACCAATTTCCCTCCAATAAATATTTTTAAACGTTATCGACGCTTAAACAGTGCTTTCAATTATGTGACCACATACAGGCACGGGAATGAAAATTCCCATCATTGCTTGCCTTCTGAGAAAAGGAAGGCGTGGTCTGATCACAAAACTGAAACTTCCCAAACACAGTGGGTCACAACGTGTGAGGGCATAAGTGCTGGTTGAAAGCCATGTTCTCAGAGCTGTGCCCCGTGTGTTAGACTCTAGGGAAAAAAGACTTTTCTCCTAGAGTCTGACTTTTCTTTTTTCGTGGCTTGAGGAGGAGCCCAGGTGGCATACATGCTGCACTTCCAGTCTTGTTCGTTTTTAGTCCCCACTTTTTGCTCTGTCTATTGTTAAATTTTTTCAGGCAGTTGTTTCTTGGTTTGGGAACTTTTCATTTTGAGATAACTGTATTATTCATAAAGAGTTGCAAGAAATAATGCACAGAGCCATGTTCCCTTACTCCCCCACCCCAGTCTTGTAGCTTTACAGCACAATATTACAGTCAGAAAATAGACATTAATACAGTCAGGATGTAGAACACTTCCTCCACCCACCCCTTATGTTGCCCTGTGAGTCGCCCTCTCTCTTCTCAGCCTCTGGCAATCACAGATCTGTCACCCATTTCTATAATTTTATTTCAAGAATGTTAAACACATGGAATCATGTATTATGGTAGCACTTTGAAATAGCATTTTAAACTTTTTATTACATTTATTTGTTGTGTTTATGTGTGGGGGTCCACATGAGCTAAGGCAAGGAGTGGAGGTCAGAGAACAATGTACAGGAGTCGGTCTTCTTTCCATCGTGTGGATCTGAGGACCGGTCAAACTCAGGTCGTCAGGCTGGGCAGCAGTTACCTTTACCAGTGGTGCTATCTCACCAGCCCTGGGTAGTATTTTTAGTTGCTGTTTTGTTTTCATTCACTATAATTCTAAGAGTACTCACTCAGACCTCCAGACCATTGCCTGCAGAGGCCAGAGAGGGTGTTGGAGTCCCTGGAACTAGAGTTATAGATAGGTGTTAACAGCCGTGTGAGTGCTGGAAACCAAACCTGGTCCTCTGCAAGAGCAGCCAATGCTCTTAACCACTGAGCCATCTCTCCAGCCCTGTTGTTTTGACACTCTCACTATGTGGTGCATGGAGACCTTGAACTCACAATCTTCCCTCCTCTGTCTCCCAAGTGCTAGGATTATAGGCACATACCACTGTGCATAGATAAGTATTTTCATTTTTCAAAAAGCAATTATATACATGACTGGTTAGAATTACAGTATTCTAGCCCACATGGAAAAACTTGGTGGTTATTTAAAAAGTTAAATGTAGAATTACCATATGACCCAACAATTCTGCTCTGAGGTATAAACCCAAAATAACTGAAGAGATATTAAAAATATGTGTACCTAAATGTTCATAGAAGATTTATTCATAATAGCCCAAAGTGAAAGCAATTCAAATATCCATGAATGGATGAAGGGCTAAACAAACAGGAGTATATATACATGTACTGATGTTATTCATCCACAAAAACAGATGAAGTTCAGGTGTCTACTATGGTGGGGATGAATCTTGAAGACACTGCACTAAGGGAGAAAGACTATACAAAAGGGCACATGCTGGATGATTCCATTTATACAAAATATACAGGATAGCTAGATCTACATATACAGAGAACAGATGGGTGAGTGACAGGGCAGGGAGGAGAGGGCAGTAGGCAGTAACCTTTGGTATGTACTTTCGTTGAGGGCATGATGACAGTGTTTTGGAAGTAGTGATGGTGGTTACACAACTTTGTGAATATGTTAAGCATTAGTGAATTGTCCACTTAAAAATGGTTACTTAACAAAGATGTGGCAAAAATCTGTAAATGATATTTTCTTTTCTCCTTTTTTTTTCTATATTGGGGCTCACACCCAGGGACATGCACATGCTAGCCAAGCTATCTCTTCCTGAGTCATATCCCCCAAGTGATATTTATTTTTAATTTCAGTGCCCATGTGTTCAACTCAAGTGTACAAGGTATTCTGTTTGTATGTTATCTTGTATCCCACAACACAGATGAACTTGCTTTGTTGGTCCTAGGGATTTAAAAAATATATCCACTGGTATTTTTTAAATGAAGAGGACGGATATTTTGTTTCTTACTATGTTGCAAAGCTGCTGCTTCACTGTATTAAAAGTAGCACCAGTGACCTATTGTAAAATTAAGAGAGTTCTTTTGACGCATCATCCAAACCTGTCTGACACAATTTCCTGCTCTCTCAGGCATTCTGAGATTCATTAATCTTCTGACCAAAATCCAGTGATGGATGTAAGTAAGTTACAATATTATATGAGAATTATAAGAACATTGTTATCATGAAATATATAATTCTTATAACCACTTTGTACCATAAATAATCTCATTAATTCTGAACACCAGACTTAACCTCTAGTGTAAATACCTAGTCTATGGAGCTACAAAAAAGATGTATACTGTGTTTATCTGCCATCATTAGGAAGCTGAGGGGATTTCCTTCCAGTAGCAGTGCTGGGCGTCGTTTATTTTCTATCGGAATTGCTGAAAGTTATTTAAAGTCTTCTGTATACCACTAATTCAAGACAACTATGCTTGAGTGAGTTACTTTGCAGTGGTTTGAGGCTCCTCATTGACTCCTGGATGGATTTCTTCTTTACTTTTTAGTTCATCCAGTTCTGAAAGGCCGCTCAGTGTTATCTCAGTCAGCCAACCATCTGCCTAACAGTATTTGTTGGCTGGCCCTGGGTTTTCTTCACTTGCTTCATGAATTTCTGTTACCTCTCCTGACAGAGTAGTTAGCTGGCAGCTTTCTACTTTCTGAGGGGCTGTGTGCAGGGCACCAGGGCAGTGTGTTCCTCACCACATGCTCACTTGGTATTTTCTACATGGAAAATCACATCAACCATCTATAAATAGAGATGGCTTAATTTTCTCTTATTTTTCTTTACTGGTACATTTGTGTATTTTGTGTGTACACAGGAAAGCACAAGCAGAGGTCAGAGGATAACTTGTGGGCATCAGTTCTCACCTTCTGCCTTGTGGATCCTAGGATCGAATTGAGGTCATCAGTCTTGGCAGCAAATTTCTTTACTAGCTGAGCCATATAACTGGCCCAATTTTCTCCTTTTTTTCTTCCTTTCAGGTTTTGTTCTTTAAAACATTGTTAATTGAATTTTTGTGTATTTCATACAGAAAATCATCTTTATACCTATCCTTCCCCCCTTCCCCTTTGGAACCCTCCATATCCAATCCCTGCCCCGGCCTACTGGAGTTCATACAGTCTGTCATTTGTATTAAGGCCTGTCATGTAAAGTTAGTGTCCTGAGATGTCCCTCAGTGCAAGTTCATCCACTCGGGTTAGTCAGCCTATGTAGAGTTTCTCCCTTCAAGAAGATCAGCTCTTCCTCACCCAGTGATTCTGCCCTTGGTTTTTGTCTAAGTTTGTATGGGTCTTGTGCATGCTGACACCATTGCTGTAGGTTTGTATGAGAAGGGTCCCAGGCACCTGTAGGACTATTTCTGCATGGTTCTGCACCTCCTCCCTGGCTCTTACAACCTTTCTGTACCCTCTTCTGCAATGGTCCCTCAGCCCTGGGTGGGTGTACCTCAGTATAGGAATCCTGTCCAAGGACTCACACTCTGCCCACTCTTTTTCTCTGCTTTTTGGTCATTTGTGGCCTTTAGTGTTCCTGCCTCCCTGTTGCATGAGGGAGCTTCACTGATGAGCATTGAAGAAGTGTTCTCTTCATCCCTTGTTCTATGTTCCATAAGTCTTAGGTGTGGAGGTTGCATCCTAGATGTGCCACTTAGGCTTGGGCAATTCACAGAGAATCTCTGTGTGTGACCAGTGGTGTAACTCTATGTAATAATCTCTGTTGAAAAAGAAGCTACTTTGATGGGTGGTGACTGGGATACTTATCTGTAAATTTAAGGATCCATATTTTGCACATAGTAAGAAATTACATTTGCTTAGGGATATGAGTGCCCTGGGGTTTTCTCTAAGATCTATGACCTCTCCAGCTATGTGTATTTGGCTAGATTTACAGTACCAGACATGAGTTTCCTCCCATTAAATGGGCTTTAAGTCCAACTATATAGCTGTTGACTACCCCTAAGATAAGTGTCTCTACTGCACCACAGGTTGTAACTTCTAGTACTGTGATAAATGAATTGGGAGAAAATACATCTTGTTCCCAGCTTTAGGGGGGAAAGTCTCTTATTAAGTACAATGTTATCAGCAGTGATTTTAAAGACATTCTTTGTCAAATTGTTACTCTTCCTATTTTTCTGAAGGTTTTAATTATGAATGGGAATTGGCTTTTGCCAATTGTGTCAGTTGATGTGGGGCTGCTCTTTTTTTCTGGTACTGTAATGGCATGCTTGGATGGATCTGCAAGCACTACACCATCCGAATAAACTTCACACAGTATGAAACTCTAGGCATTGCTGAATCCTATATTTCATATTTCAATAGGATTTTTTTGATCCATACTTGTTAAACATGCTGTCTCCCAATTGGTTAGTTCCTCCAAGGGGCGGGGCCTGCCACAGAGTGTGGACTAAGGAAGGGCGGCTTGAGACAGAAGCTATGAGCTGTGGGTGGCATGGGTGGCAGTGTGCATGGCGTGGGGAATGCACAGCCATGCAGCAGCTGAAGGACAGAATGGACTGACTCTTGTGGACCTGGGGTGAGATCGCTGGCCCTGGAGGCATGAGTGAATGCTAGCAGTGACTGTGGGTGTGGTGTGGCCTGATATGGTGGGCTTTGAGCCATGGTGCAGGGCTAGGCACTGGGTACTCATTCCTTTGTAAGCTAATAAATGCACATAAAGATATGTTATATGGTTTGCTTGATAGCACAGGAGACCTAGAGGGAGCTCCAGTGACAAAATTGGCATAGCTTGGCAGGATATGATGAAACTGAGAATGAGTTTTAGAAGAGC